TGAATGAGCAGCGTGGTCGCGAGCTAGCACTGTAAGATTTAATATACAGTGAAACCTCGATATAACGAACCGTGATAAAACGGAAAACTATAATATATAAAATTTTTGCTGGGTCTCCTGAATAAAAACCTCATTGTAGTCGTTGGTTATTCAATAAACCCTTCCAACCCTTTCAACTTCGCTATACCGAGGTTTCACTGTACAATGTGTGCTTTCGCTTTTTACTAATTTGTATTCTTTTACTACACAGACAACAAGCCAAACAAAAACAGTGCGATTATATATTCTTTGTGGATGCTGCTGTGCAAGTGGATGATCCACAAATGCTGCGCGAATTATTAATAATGAATAGGTGCCTACTTTTGATTTAGATAATTGCCTATTAAGTAAAACAAGCTAATATTATTTTATTTCATGTCAGACAATTCGTTGCGCCAGTGGTGAGCAAATACGATGAATTATGGAGCAATTTTTGGGGTGCTCTCTCTGATGGTGGCTACTATGCGCGCTCACATGATTACGTGGACATTGTGAAGGGCTCATTTACGTGAGTAAAATGTTTGTCTGTTTATTAAAATTTGTTTTAGAAAAAAATGCATAACCCATGCAACAAACTCCTACGTACATACATATGTACATTTCGAGGGCTTATATTCAATACCCTCTATCTGCAATTTCGATGAAAATGAGTTTTTGATGGTAACGTGAGCTCCGATTAATCTTTGAGCCATGACAATAACGTCAAACTTAAAATATAGCTTTAATGGTATTATATTCTCATTTTCTTTCTGCAATAATATTTTGTTATAAGAGCAAAATCCTCTATCTACACAATTTTGCTGGAAAATTGTTTTTATTAGCATTTTTTGTGGCAGGTAAGTTACATGTGCATACGTATGTATGTATGTATATATTACTGGTAAAATCCTATCTTAGGTCAAACTAGTTTTGCCCAGGCTAAACTAGTTCTACTTAATGCGATATATATGTCCAACTGAAAACAAATTTGATACAACAAAAAAAATCTTCCATATCCCGTCAAACAAAGAGTGGAAAACTGCTATTTTTATTCCTATTGCCAAACTAAATAGAAATAATTCATTAGTTTTTAACTACAGATCCATTTCCCTACTCGCCTGCATATCTAAAGTATTACGCTGTAAAAAATGGTGATTGAATATCAGCCCTCGATTTGATATTTTATTTTAGTACTCTTATTTTTCTTAAATATGCTACATAACTGAGTATGAAAAATTGTATAGGCTTATAAAAATGTAAATACTCCTAACTTAATCGAAAGCAATCGAGAAATCTGTCTTAAAGCTGCGCCGATCTATCGAGTACATATTATCGGCGGTGCATTCATAGAGCCCGGCATCCATTTGTGTGGCTGGATCGATTTCGATTTTCGATTTCACTCTATCATCGCCAATGCGCCACTCGTGCACCTGCAAGAACAACATAAAACCAAAACAATACTAAACTTAAGTTATTGAAACGGCGTATATGTAATTATACTCACATGCATGTAGAGATGTTGAAAAATCTCCGTACCATCCTTATACCAAGTGATCTGTGGACGCGGATTACCTTTAGCCACACAAAGAAAAGCGATTTTATGACCCAAAACGTATTCATAATCGAAATGTGAGGCTTGTAGAATTTTAGCGCCCTGCAAAGAGAGGAAGTTGAGTAAAAACGGGAGTAGGCAGAAGAATGTAGCTATCAAAATTCGTTGTTTTCATATGATTAGCAGCAGAGCGCGGCCTTGCTGGTTGCCTTTCACTCATAACAATATGCAAGTGTTTATTACATTACAAAATTAAATTGAACTATTAAAATTTTCTAATTGCATCCACAGAAAAGTGAATAAAAGATTTCAAACCACTTCAGCTTACACTTACATTGTTATTATTGTAATACTGATCCGATTCAGGATCACGATATTTGCCTGTTATGGGTAAACCAATTTGTACCTGAGAATTATAGACAACATTTTTTTTATTAAACACTAAATATTTTCATATTTTTTTTTTTTAACTCATACTCTCGATTTGGTGCGTCCTCGGCCACGTCCACGTCGGCCATCACACACTTGACAGCTCAACATTAACACACCCAGACAAATCACGAGCAATTTAACATTCATTATTTTGTAGCAATTGATTAAAAGTGGAAGTGATATTTATATATATATATATATATATTTTTTTTTTTTTAATTTCTTCGCACTTGTTTTTCTGAAAATTCTTGAACTACTATCAATACAAAGTATTCAAAGTCCGTGCTAAATTTTCTTGCAAATTTAATTAAATTTTTAATGTTTTGTTTGAATTTCTATACGGCTTGGTGCACGCTTCGGCTCGGCTCGAGTGTGCTAACACTTTAACGCGCTGT